GTCCGTTTATGGTGGGATGCCAGCGGAGACAAAGGTTGCCAGTCTTCTCTTAGCGTTTGTAGAGCACGTTATTGTTTTGATTCAGATTAAATTATTTAAAACTTTTGGCTGATCTTTTATAGTTTTTGTCTCGATTAGTAAAATTTCTTATTTAATTATTGCAGGGAACACACTAAGGTAGATTTAGCAGTTTTTATATTTTATATTTTGAAATAATAGATTGCATAATTTTTCAATTAGAGACGCGGTTTGAAAATTTAGAATTACTTTTAAATCTTACTGCAGACCCACAATTTTACGACCAAATAATAGATAAATTTTCAATCGTAAAAGATAGACGTATAGTATTTTATATTTTTTAATACTTAGGTAGGGGTCGACTTTTTAGTTTTATTTTTATTTTTTGATTAATTTATTTATTTTTAACTTTTTTAAGACTATATTTTAAGTTTAAGATTAAAACTAGTCTTTGATGTGATATTTTGTTTGTTTTGTTTTTTAGAGTTTATTTTTTGGTTTAGTAGTGCTATCGGCTCCATTTTAAAAAAGGTCAACGCGTCGCAGAATAATACCTCCCGGGTGACGTGGAAATTTATTCGTATTTAGACAAAATTAACCTTATTTAGCCTCACCCTCCTGTACACCCACGAGCCGCCACTGTAGAAGGGTGGCCTAATTATTAAAAAAAATATTAACTTATAAATAAAATTATTTTACGAAAATGACAGATTGATAATTTTACAAAAAATAATTAACTTATTTCTCATAACAAAAAAAACATTCTTCTTAAGAAGATCTTATAACAAATTAAATCTACTCTTATTTACACAAGAATATTCATAGATTGATGGTATCTCTGCTAAAAATTTTTTAACGAAATGGGAATGAAATCGAGGAAAAGATTTCGTATAGCTTAAGCGGCATAATTATGGCGACCTTAAAACCATTTGTTTACATGAATCACATTTAATTTATGATTGACTAAATAAATATTTTTATTGTCGATATAGTTCGAATACAGTTCGATAGGAAATTAATTACATTGACTCCTCTTTGTTATCCGCTGCAAACAGATTATTTTTGTTATTTTATTGTGATGTTATTACCCAACAATACATTCTTTAAAATTGCATTTTATTTTGTTCTCGGTTGTTTACCGGTGGAAACTCTAACCTAAAATTCAGAACATGGGGATACTTTTAATTTTGAGCAAATAAAAATGTGTGAAATCCCATAAAAAAGTATGCGACGGTCATGTTAAAAATTTGTTTATTTTTATTTAAAACCCTTCTTAGTTTTATTTTTATGCACATAAAGCACTTTCTTAATCATTTTTTTTTTCAAAATTAAATCAGACTCGTAAAAGATATTGAAAAGTTTGAAAAAAATAAAAATCACTTATTTAATTAAGAAGGGTTAAAGATAAAAGAATCCAAAATTGTTTGTAGACTGTGAAAAAATTAATATTAAAGTGAACGAAGATAAAGACAATGATAAAAACGAAAATATTAAATAAAAATATCGACAATAACTTTAATTTTTTTTCTGAATTTCGTAAGATGTTTTTTTTATTTGAGTATCATCTTAATTATTTGTTTAGTCTAAATTTTGAAAAAAAATATCTCAATGTTGTTTAACCCTCTGCCTAGATGATGATACTGTTTTCATTTTATTTATTTTTTTTGGATTTCGTAAGATTGCTTTTTTTATTTGAGTATACTTAATCTTAATTATTTGTTTAGACTAAATTTTGAAAAAAAAATATTCCGATGTTGTTTAATGGGTTAATGCATTAACGCATTGGGGAAACAATTTTAAAATTTCCAAAATTTTCAAAATGTGCACACAACCATGGTTGGTTTTAAATGTTTTTTTAACAGATAACAGATGAGGTAAAACGTGAGGTTAAAACCGCTTGACAGTTTTCAGATGTCAAATAAAATGTAAAAAAAAATACTTTAAATTCCGAAAAAACATTACTTTGCGCTTCGCTCGTGCTTAATATTTATTAAACTCAAGGGGATTTATAAAAATAATATACCTACTAATAAACAGGCTGTTGTATATATGGGTCATTTTCAAGAAACACCCGCTTTCAGGAAAATGAAGATCAAAATATTTTTTTTGCTTAAATTGACTTTTGGTTGGATTTTTATAAATGTTTAGAGTTTTGTTTACTTACATTTAAGACAGGCAGTGCACTTTTTATTTTTTTTACGTTTTTTTCAGAAAAATGTGTTTAGCTAGCTTTATATATCTCCACTGTGTTACCAATTTGAAATCCAAAATTTAATTCAATAAAAAAAGTTGTTATAAAAATAATTTGAAATAAAATGTACTTAGTTCACAAACTTTTGACTCCAATTTTTTATTTTTTATTAAAAATTGTATGCTTTTTTTTAAATATGTATGTTCGTTAAGTTACTTTTTAAAAGAAACCATTCCGATTCTTTGTTAAAAAAACAATACCATTAATATTTTCTTTTAGTCACTGTATTAGTGAATTAAACTCTAATTTATAAACAGGTATTACCAAGTGATAGTAAAATCATTTTAAGGATTTTTTTTTAACAAAAACTAAAAAAAGTAACGAAATAGACATTGGTATCACAACGGACAGGGGTACACAAAGGACTTAATCAGATAACGTAAAAAAGAAACTATATAGGGTGGTACGATTTTAGAGTAAAGCATAAACAAAATCCCTTGTAGTGGTGCTCACTTGCAGAATAACAACTTAAATTTCTAAATTGTAGACACCCTTTTTCTTTGACTATAAGCGGGTGAAGGTCCCTTTTAGTACTTGATAATGCGTGGAATTTTCCCTTGGATGTAATCTATATCATGAGTTGTAATTACAAATAATTATGTTATGTTTATAATAATTATGTTTTTTATAATAATTATGTTTTATAATAATTATGTTTTATAATAATTATGTTTTTTTAAATATTCTATCGGTAACGCGACGGACGTAACGCAACAGAAAAAATGTCTGGGACATGAGTCAAATTTAAAAAAAGTAGATTAAAATTAATTATTTTTTATATAAATTGTTTACTGTATTAACTAAGGATGTTATGGATTGCTATAAAGCAACACAAAGTTAAAAAAAAAACATGTATGTAAGTTTTATAAAACGCTAATGGGAAATGCGAAAATGTGAGTTTCAAAATTAAAAAAAAATTATTCTGAAATAACTAAACAAAAATTTTCTGAAAGAGTTTACTAAGGGCTTGTTAGGCTTGCACTTGGTTTTTAAATCAATAAGATCCGATAATTTTTAACAAAGTTATTGGAATTCAAACTTACGACCCATATACTTCATTCGTAAATCTTGACAGGTTTATTATACCTACCAATGGTATATTATATTGTATCGTGACGTCACGATACCATTTTACAAAAAAAAATTTCACACTTATTGTCTCCAAAAATAAGTGCTAAATTAACCGATTTTTCTTATTACTACAAATAATTAAATACCATTTCAAAACAAATTGGTTAAATTTGTGGTAAAGTATGTACGAGAACCTAAGTAACGTCATTGGCGACCGAGACATATATCTTCAAAGACAATTTTTCAATTAGTGAACCCTTTTTGTTTAAACGAAGGATGTTATTACATTTTCAATTGACGCTGGATTTGTCAAAGAAACAAAAACTAAACATGAAGGTGTTGCAACATTGCCAAATTATTAATGGCTGTAAATCAAATTTCATGCAGTTAATTTTTTTTATCTGGACTCGTGTTTTTTTGTTAGGTTGGTGGCTTATGCCAGTTTAACTTAGTATTTTTATTATTTTAAAATGGCACTTCTGCTAAAGAATTTAATTAAATACTTTGACACTGTCAAATTGACAATAATATTTATTATTGATAATTTACTTGTCAAATATAAATAAAAAGATAATTATGCCAAAAATAATAGCAACGAATTCGAATGTAAAACCCTTTTGAGGGCAAAACTTCATTTTGATGAAATTATGCCAAATGCCACAATGACAGAAAAAGTACATCGCCTTATGGACATTTTTGGAGTAAAAAAGTAACGAATTTGGTTTTATAAATATTACACCACACATTATTTTCACATTATTCACCATTGGACAACCTTTACGTTCACAAAAAATTTTAATTTCTTTTATATAAATTCTTTCAAAGCGAAGATTATTATCCGCTAGGAATACTTTTCTCTTCTGGGCCGTAAAGCAACCTATATTTAACTACTTTTTTATATGATTTTACTCATCCAAACACCACCAAAGCCAAATTAATTGCATTTTTAACTACGAATTTCGACAACTCAACTTGACAACTGCACAATGTAACCTACAATACTTTATACATAACCACAATTAGATTTATAACTAGCTTAGTTTGTTTTAATCAATGCGACCAACTTGACAACTGTATTTACCAACCAAAACCCTAAATTTGCAACGTTGCCGCAGTCCCGATAAAAAAAAATGAACTTTAGAGTTTTTCTTTGTGATTTGTTAACATGGATATCACTATAACTTACCTTAAAATTGTTTATTTAATAAATTTGAATAAATAAAAGTTTTTTTTCAAAATATATAATTTTATTAAACAAAATATAAATAATACATAAAGAACAAAAAACCTCATTTGTAATTTTACAAAAACATTTTTATAAACTAAATAGGTACATCATTTTGCAGTATGGATGAAAATAAATTAAAAAAAATATATTTCTCAGTTACTTTAGAATAATATTTATAATAATAATAATAATAGCGACAACTTAAGTAATATTATATATATAAGCGGAAAAATATTTTAAATTATACTTAATTTATTAGTCTTTAATATAAAGATAGTCTATATACTGTGTGTTACCACTGACTTCATAAACACACTGTATAAAAAAGTTACTCAATACTGTACTAATGTACAGTAGTGGTTATAACAAAATCTAATCCGATGAAAAAAATTTAGTTTGTTAAAAAACAAACTAATTTTTTTTCGAAATCTTTCAAAAAGGTAAACTGGGTTTACAAGTACAAAACTTGTTATGTACAATTCTACAATTCGGGTTGTAACTCAAAAAGTTGTTTATCCCCTCGACTGTACATTGAGTGTACGTTAAGTCCAGTAAGTCCAGACTCAAGTCTTTAATGCAGGTTAATATTTTATCGGTTATTTTCAAATAACCTCGTAGAGATAGGCGTTTCAGAGGTATTTTTTTCTCAGGGACTGCCTCCATTTGAAGGTGTTGTAGGTATATGTCCTGCCTAAAAATAGGATAGAGAAATAATGGACTTTGTTCACGCACACTTTTTATGATTTTAATTTATGTACCATATACAGGGTGTCCCGAAATTTTCGAGAGCGTAGTCTGTATATTATATAATTTCTGTTAAATCAACATTTGAATTTAATGGTTTTTATTGATGACTAACAATGACAAAATATTTAATAATACAGAAATTATATATATACATAAATAAACCATAAAAAGTATATTTTTAAATAAAATGTATCAGTCCCATTCGTAAATTCGTAAACTATTCTCAGAATAAATATATATTTAGGTATTCTTTAATTTAATTTAAAAACAACGCATTTAATAAAAAACATACAGGGTGTTACGAATTTCAGGTTACAACGAAATTCTAAAATGTGTTTTTATATTCTAAATTGAATTGAAATTCTTAAATGTTTTTTACGTGTTTTAAACCAGTTTCGACATTCTAAATTCTAAATAGGCATTTTCAATTGTGTTTTTGGTATTTTTAAGCGGGTTTGTAATATACTGAAATAAGTTTTAATATACTTTACAGTTTAATTTAATAAATTTAAAATGTTTTTTATGATTTTAAATTGTGTTTTTGATACTTTAAATCGGATTTGTAATATTCTAAAATATGTTTTAATATTCTTTACAGTTTATTTATTACATTTAAATATTTTCTCAAGATTTTTAATTGTGTTTTTAACACTCTAATAGTATATTAAAGTACAAGTTGCAGAAGGCCACATATTCTCGCACGAATTCGAAATTTGGCCTCGAGCGACGAAGGAGCGAGTGGACGAACGAATGAGTGCGAGAATAGCCTTCTGCAACGTGGGATTTATACTATTTTCTCGATTTTAACTTTTATTTAGGTTTTTTTTAATTGTTTTGTGGTCGTTGCTAGTTAGGGGATTTTTCTCGCAAAATGTCAGTTGGCAACACAAAATGACAATATTTGTTATCCTGCACAAGTACAACCTAAACTGCACTTTTACACATTAAACTTAAAATTTTGCATTAAAATGCATTGTTGGAGCAAACTTTATATTACAAAACAATAATAAAGGCTTCATTTTCAATAAAAGTAATGAATTTGAGGTTATTAATCAGTTTGACATTTTGGGGGTACCAATACTTAAAAACTAAATGTTACCAAAAATCGTTTAAGAATGAGCTTCATTCTTCAACGATTTTGCGTGCGAGAATATGACATTCTTACATAAAAATCGAGAAAATGCATTTTTACAGCATTAAATAGTGTTTTTGACAGTCCAAAATATGTTTTGATATCTCTACATTATTTTTGGTTTAAACTTTCTAAATTTGTTTTAAATTATGTTTTTGACATTCTTTAACGCGTTTTGACATTTCGAATGTTCTAGACATTATAAATTGTGTTTTTAATACTTTTAATCGGGTTTGTAATATTCTTAAATATGTTTTAATATTCTTTACAGTTTATTTCTTACATTTAAATATTTTCTCAAGATTTTTCATTGTGATTTTAACATTCTAAAATGCATTTTTACAGGCTTAAATAGTGTTTTCGACATTCCAAATGTGTTTTGATATCTTCACATTCTTCTTGGTTTAAACTTTCTAAATTTGTTTTAAATTGTGTTTTTGGCATTCTTTAATGCGTTTTGACATTTAGAATGTTCTAGACATTCTAAATTGTGTTCTAACTGGGTTTGTATTATTCTAAACAATGTTAATATTCTTTATATATATTATCTAACAAATTTAAATTTTCTATTAACTAAAACGGGTTTTCATGATTTTAAATTGTGTTTTTGACATTCTAAATTCGGTTTTGTCATTCTAAATTGTGTTTTTGACATTTAAAATGGTCTAGACACTGTAAAATGTGTTTTTTTATGATTTTAAATTGTGTTCTTGACATTCTAAAATGTATTTTGACAATTTTAATTGTCATTACCATTTTTTATTTTTAATGACGACCTAATAATATTTGTTTTAAAAATTGTGGTTTGGACACTCTAAAATTTGACATCTTTCAAACAGTTCTAACCTCACTTTTTTCCAATCTGACATCTGTCAGACGGTTTAACCTTACTTTTTCCCAATTTTAAACTTAAATCCACTTCAGTCGTGAATAAAATGCTATAAAGTCACAGCTTGTCAATGTGCAAGTAGATACAATTCTAAATGTTGCTTTAGAAATTTTAAAATGACGTAATAAGGTGATTTTAAAATGTTGTTTTGCCAAGGACAACCATTTTACTCCTCTTTTATAAAAAATAAACCTTGTCCTATCAGGGATGTCATCAAACTGTCAAATGTCATTTTTAGGGTTAATTTATCATAACCAACAAATTAACCTTAAAATTGACATTTGACAGTTTGATGATGGAGTTTAAATTTTTAAATTTTTCTGTTAAAGAACCTAAATTTCGTAACACACTGAATAAAATTCTAAAAAATTATGAAATCTTATACTTATACTGGGAACGGTTCATATTCATACGGATACACACAACTCAATCTCTCTCTACACATTCAATGACAATATTAAACATGCAAAATCTACAAACAAACAATAAAAACAAAAAACCCCGGTGACCTTGTGTTGAGAAGAGTTGCCGATAATCCCTCGATTGTTTTTTTTTGTATTTAATTTTAACATTTACCTGGGGTCGTCCAACTGGCCCAAATTAATAACGATTCTGTGTTCATGTTCTACACGCTGCTGGTCAGAATTTCTGGGGAATCACAGAAACAACAAAATACAAAGTGCAGCAACAAATTCAATACAAAACCCAAGATCTGAAGTGCAAGGTTATATACAGGGTGTCCCAGAACTCGAGCCACAGAGACAAAATGTCACTTCTGGAAGACCTTCATTAAATACTCTGACACTGTCAAATTGACAGTAATATTTATTATTGATAATTTACTTGTTAATTATTATAAAATATCAGATTCTAAAGTAAAAGAACTTTTAAGGGCAAAACTTCATTTAGATGAAGTTATGCCAAATGCCTCAATGGCAAACGCAATAATTGCGAAACTTTTTCTTCTTTTAATTTGCAAGTTACTGATAATATATAAAATATATAAGTTTTTATAAAACGTAATTTTCTTTGTATACCCTTAAAATTTCAATAAAATAAGTGCGACGTTGCCAGATATATTCATAAGTTGGCATTCTTAAGAGTTTTGCAAGTATCTTTCTTAATATTATTCATATCCAATAAAATGTCATTAAAAAATCTTTAAAAACAAAAAAAATACCGAAATTTTTCCAAATCGTCATGTTATTTCTTTAATTTATCACCGATTTTTACGAAATTTTAAACGTAGATTAACAAAATAATTATTTTTTACTTAGATTTTGATTTTTTTTCTAAATCTTTAAAAACAAAAAAATTATAGACATTCTTCCAAAAAAATAAAATTGTCATGTAATTTTTTTAATTTATCACCGATTTTTACGAAACTTTGAACGTACGTTAAAAAAATAATTCACTTTGAGTTAAAATTTGATTTTTTTCTAAATTTTTAAAAACAAAAAAATTATGGACATTCTTCCAAAAAAATAAAATTGTCATGTATTTTTTTTAATTTATCACCGATTTTTACGAAATTTTGAACATACATTAAAAAAATAATTCTTTTTTTGTTAGATCTTGATATTTTTTCTAAATCCTTGAATACAAAAAAGTTATGGACATTTTTCCAAAAAAATAAAATTGTCATGTAATTTTTTTGATTTATCACCGATTTTTACGAAATTTTGAACGTACATTAAAAAAATAATTCACTTTGAGTTAGATTTTGATTTTTTCTAAATCTTTAAAAACAAAAAAATTATGGACATTCTTCCAAAAAAATAAAATTGTCATGTAATTTTTTTAATTTATCACCGATTTTTACGAAATTTTGAAATTTTGAAAAATAATTCACTTTGAGTTAGATTTTGATTTGTTTTTAAATTTTTAAAAACAAAAAAATTATGGACATTTTTCCAAAAAAAATAAAATTGTCATGTAATTTTTTTAATTTATTACCGATTTTTACGAAATTTTGAACGTACATTAAAAAAATAATTCACTTTGAGTTAAAATTTGATTTTTTTCTAAATTTTTAAAAACAAAAGAATTATGAACATTCTTCCAAAAAAATAAAATTGTCAAGTAATTTTTTTAATTTATCACCGATTTTTACGAAATTTTGAACGTACATTAAAAAAATAATTCACTTTGAGTTAAAATTTGATTTTTTTCTAAATTTTTAAAAACAAAAGAATTATGAACATTCTTCCAAAAAAATAAAATTGTCAAGTAGTTTTTTTAATTTATCACCGATTTTTACGAAATTTTGAACGTACATTAAAAAAATAATTCACTTTGAGTTAGATTTTGTTTTTTTCTAAATCTTTAAAAACAAAAAAATTATGGACATTCTTCCAAAAAACAAAAGAAAATTGTCATGTAATTTTTTTTAATTTATCACCGATTATTAAGAAATTTTGAACGTACATTAAAAAAATAATTCTTTTTTTGTTAGATTTTGATTTTTTTCTAAATCTTTAAAAACAAAAAATTATGAACATTGTTCCAAAAAAATAAAATTGTCATGTAATTTTTTTAATTTATCACCGATTTTTACGAAATTTTGAACGTACATTAAATAAATAATTCACTTTTAGTTAGATTTTGAACGTACATTAAAAAAATAATTCTTTTTTTGTTAGATTTTGATTTTTTTTTAAATCTTTAAAAACAAAAAAATTATGGACATTCTTCCAAAAAAATCGTTTTTTTGCTCTCATTTGATTACACTTTACCTATAATTTTTTTATTTTTAAATTTGGCATCTCCATTGCTTTCTGGACACCCCTTATTCTCTGTGGTGCTAGTTCTAGGGTGTACACGATTTTGGACCTAAGAAGACAAAAAGTGTTTCCCCGGATTAAACAAATTACATTTCAAAAAGGATCTAAGAGTAAAATAATTAGTTGTTGTCTTGAAACTTGTAGAAATAACATTGGCAGAAAAAACGCGCCAAAACACTTTATTAAAACACCATTTTCTTAGGTCCAAAACCTGTTTTTTTTTTAAGTTTTGAGGGCTAAAACTAAAAGTAAACAGACAGTTCAAGATGCTATAACTCTACATTCAAAAATGCCAAGCCAAGCAGTGAACACGACTAAAACCGAAGTTATAATTTGAAAAGAAAATGCAAAACACATAACACCACAAGAGCAGGATAAAAACTAACCCTGCTCTATAGATTTCCATGCGTCAAAAGATTTATACGTTCATTATCTATAAACAAAATTTTGATAACTTACTCTTCCCGTCGACCCTGGTTGTTTTCCATCGAGATAATTTGCACCCTGAATGGGTCGTTCAGTCTGTCGATGTTCATTAGTCTTCTGAGTACTTGTTCGGCTACAGGAAGCTCATTTCTGATGAAAAAAAAATGTTTGGAAAAAATGTAAACGATTATTTTCATTGAAGGGTCAATCCGTATTAAATCAAGCAACGAAATGATTTATTTGTTTATTTTTTTACCTGTTTGTACCATACTAAATATACAACACAATTTAAGTATGTTTTCTGAAAACTATTGGTTTTTAAAGTTTGTCCATTTCAGTTTGAAAATACTCGATTTTAGACGAATTAACGAATTTTTTAGCTATTTTTAAAAATATCAGTGATGAAATTATATCAGTGATGACATTTTAGTCATAATTAAATGTTTTCTGAAAATTTTGTATTTTTAAAGATTGTCTCTTTCGAGATATTTTGGATTAAAAAAAACCAATTTTAGACAAATCCTAATATTTTTAAAAATGTTTAAACTAAAAAACGTATAAAGTCTCAGTGATGAAATTTGAACCACCTATTGCAATTGAATGTTTACTAAAAAGTTTGTCCATTTCGAGATGTTTTAGATTAAAAAAATACCGATTTTAGACGAATCACAATATTTTAATATTTTTAAAAACGTCTAAACTAAAAAACTTATAGTCTTAGTGATGAAATTTTAACCACTTATTACAACACAATAAAAGAATTTTTTTTTAATTTTTTTGTTATTCTTAAAACTGTTTAACCAAAAAACTTGTAAAATGTCAGTACTGAAATTGTAACCACTCATAACAACACATTAATTAAATGTTTTCTGAAAATTTCGGAATTTTAAAGATGTTTTAGATTAAAAAATACCGATTTAAGACAAATCACAATATTTTAATTATTTTAAAAAAAGTCTAAACTAAAAAACTTATTAAGTCAGTAATGAAATTTTAACCACTTATTACAACACAATAATTGAATGTTTTCTAGAAATTTTGGATTTTTTATGTTATTTGTATTTTAGATTAAAAATACCCAATTTTAGACGAATCGCAATATTAAAGTTTTTTTTAATGTTTAACCAAAAAACTTATAATGTTTCATTAATAAAATTGTAACCAGTTATAACAATAATTAAATGTTTTCTAAAAATTTTTGATTTTTAAAGTTTGTCCCTTCCGAGATTTTTAGATTAAAATATACTCGATATTTTAATTATTTTTTAAATGTCCAATTTAAAAGACATTAAGTCTCAGTAATGAAATTTTAACCACTTATTACATACAACACAATACCTAATTATAATAATTTGTATATTTCAGATTGAAAATGCTCGATTTTAGACGAATCACAATTGTTAATTCAAAAAAAAAAACATAAATAAAATAGAAAAACTTTAAAACAGTGTTGCTTTTATTCATATATGAATCAATAAATATTTTAGCTACACTGCGCGTTAAAATTAAAGCATAAGTAAACCAACCTTTATGAAATTTGGTATAAAAATACGGGTGACGTTCACAATATCGAAATTCATTATATCGAATTCAAAATATCGAACACTTTTTATCGAAAATCAAAATATCGAAAATTAAAATGTCGAAAATGATAATATCGAAAATTAAAATGTCGATTTGAAAATGTCGAATAATTAAAATTTCGAAAATTAAAATGTCGAAAATGATAATATCGAAAATTAAAATGTCGATTTGAAAATGTCGAATAATTAAAATTTCGAAAATTAAAATATCGATTTAAAAATATCGAAAATTAAAATGTATGATTAAAATCGAAGTGTATATGTACAGAGGCGCCTCTGTAGATAAAGTTACGGTTATGCACCGAATTATCTTGGCTCCCTGGCTCCTAGAGATGCGCGTTTTATAGAAATGTACTCAAACTCAACAACACAACCCAACCGACCCCGCCCCATTGGCCCCCCCCCGCCCCATTGAGCAAAAAACCCAACTAAAATGGGCAAATTCATGTTACGATAAAAATAAAACACTTTTTAATTACATAAATTAGCCCATTTTAGTTGGGTTTTTTGCTCAATGGGGCGGGGGGGGCCAATGGGGCGGGGTCGGTTGGGTTGTGTTGTTGAGTTTGAGTACATTTCTATATCAGAGGCGCCTCTGTACATATACACTTCGGATTAAAATAATATGTCGATTAATTGAAATATTTAAACAAAATATCAAATTCAAAATAAGAAAATATGGTTTAGTTTCACATTAATTGTAAAAATAAAAGTATTTGTATTTTCGACATTTTAATTTTCGACATTTTGTATTTTCGATATTTTGATTTTCGATAAAAAGTGTTCGATATTTTGAATTCGATAAAGTGAATTTCGATATTATGAACGTCGATATTTTATTTTCGATAAATTGAAAATTCGATTAAATAAAATTTCGATATTATCATTTTCGACATTTTAATTTTCGATATTTTGATTTTCGACATTTTGTATTTTCGATATTTTGATTTTCGATAAAAAGTGTTCGATATTTTGAATTCGATAAAGTGAATTTCGATATTATGAACGTCACCCTAAAAATACTTCAACTTATATTTCAGTTTACGTGTTCGAGGGTTTTTCGAAAAATATTTTTAAAGCCCTTTTATGTAATAATAAAAAAAACGTTCAAAAAATAACTTTTAGGGATTTTTTTTAAAGTAAATAAAAAATATGCTGTTAATACGGTCTTTTACAGCATATTTTTTATTTACTTCCCTATAAAAGTTTTTTTTTCGAGCGTTTTTTATTATTAAATAAAAGGGGTTTAAGGATATTTTTTCGAAAAACCCTTGAACACGTAAACTAAGATATAAGTTAAAGTATTTTTATCCAAAATTTTATAAAGATTGGTAAAGACGTTTTAGAGTTAGGATTTTTTTACTTATTATGCGTTAATTTTGACGGGCAGTGTATTTAAACTAAAAAATTATAAAGTTTCAGTGATGAAATTTTAACGACCTATTACAACACAATAATGAAATATTTTCTGAAAATTTTGTGTTTTTAAAGTTTGCCCCTTTCGAGATATTTTAGATTGAAAATACCCGATTTAGACAAATGGAATATTTTAGCTATTTTTATAAAACTTCTGAAGTTTGAGTGATGAAATTATAGTCCGGTCAATCTAGACATTCGAAGGTACATAAATTTACAACAAGCTGAAAATCAGTAAAATTGTTCAGAATATAATTATTAATAAAATTTTAAAGTTCCCCATCATTCCCCTGTATGGAAATTTTTTTATTCAAGGTCAAAGGTCAAAAAAATTATTTTTCGCGATTTTCAGCAAAACGGTAAGTTTTATCATAAAAATACACCAGACAAAAATTGTAGATCATAAAATAATCTATAAAAAATGTATTAATACTTTTTTTCTACGAGCCACCGTTTCTGAGATATAACGATTCGAAAAGTTGTAAAAGTTATAATCGCCATAATATGCACACGTTTCCACGCCACCTATGAGGTAGTTTACTAAGCGCGTTTTTAAACATGGTTTCCCCAGTAGGCCTATTTCACGGGTCACTTGTGATCCTGTTTAATTTGAAACTATTGCAAAATAACGGAAATTAGCAATGATTGGAAAAGATAATAGCGATGTAGTTTATTCGTCTGATTCGTAACATATAATTTTTTTTCTTGTTCTTCTTGATCTTCTTCTTGTTCTTGTTCTTCTTCTTGTTGTTCTTCTTCTTCATCTTCATCCTGGGTTCAAGTAAATTGCGTCAATAGCGATGTATCGCATCTCACCTCGTTGGAATTAAATGAATCCTCCACTGTTGGTGATTCAACATTAGAGCACGACCGGCCTTGACAATTCGTACATGCCAAAGAATAAAACAGTCCGACTTTTTTGCAACCACATTTAGCACTGCATCCCTTTTTGCAGTTGCAAAAAATTGTGTTCAGCAGATTTTCCGGCGCAGTTGGGAGTAAAGTTTGAACTGGTTCTAATGTGTTGTTGACCAACTTCCAACCCTAGTCTGTAGGGTCTAGCTGATAACCAAGCCACACTTGAACATGGTAATATACCCGAAAAAGATGTTGATGAGCAGCAACTGAGGTTGGAGGAAGACAAGCTAATTGAACTTGTTTTTTACTTTTAGAATTTTTAACGAAACATGCACCCTTTTCCTCGAGTTTGGACGAAAAATCTCGGCTCGTTCAAAAGTTAAGCGAAGACAACGGAACGTGCCAAATTTGACGGAAAAATCGAAAAAAGTGAACTTGGACCTTTTCGACACCGGAAAAATTTGGTCCGCGGATAGGTCTCGTGGGCAGAAAAAAAGGATGCAAATTTCAACCTTCAACGGCCTCCGAGCTACGGCGATTAGAAAAAAAGGATATACAGACAACGGAAAAAATAAATATTGCAAACGGGCCGGATACGCCGGCAACTTTTCGAACAGCGTTCTTTTTTTATTTTTTTCAAAAAATTTTTAAACGTTTTTTAGGTAGAGAGAAATTTTCGAAATTGGCCGAACGAAATACACGAATCGACGGGAAAAAGACCAAAAAGATAAGCTTCATCGAATAAAAACTAATCGGCCAGAAGCCCGTTTAATTTTTGTTGGGTATTTAAAAAAGTTAACCAATTAAAATCCTCGAAATCAAATCGATAAGGTGGCATATGACAGGGACAAATGACAGGTGACAGATGACAGGTGACAGATTTTAAGTGTAAGTTAAAATGACCTATAGAAAAATATTTTAACATATATTACAACTCTAGAGATACGTGGCGTGCATATTATGACGATTACAACTTTTACAACTTTTCGAATGGTTATATTTTAGAAACGGTGGCTCGTAGGAAAAAAGTTTTAATACATTTTTTATAGATAATTTTATGATCTACAATTTTGTTTGGGGTATTTTTATGATAAAACTTACCGTTTTGATAAAAATCGCGAAAAACTAATTTTTTTGACCTTTGACCTTGAATAAAAAATTTTCCATACAGGGGAATGATGGGGAACTTTAAAATTTTATTTATAATTATATTCTGAACAATTTTACTGATTTTCAGCTTGTTGTAAATTTATGTACCTTCACTGTTATTTTTTGGTCTAATTTGACCGGACTATTATAATTAAAATTGGTTGATTTGATATGGATTGACCCTGAAAATAAAGAAAAACAGTGCAACTGAGAAGATTTAGTTCTTAAAAAGGCTTACATTATGAAATGTTTTTGACTTATGAACCTACGTACACTAACCTGGCGTTGGAAGGACCTTGCGGCGGCTCGGGCGACGGCGCCGGGCTGACGTCGTCGCGGCCCCCGCCCCCGGCGGCGGACTTTTCGGGCGTCAGCTCGTTCTCGATCTCCTCGTCGGTGTCGCCGCGCGGCGGCGGCGCCATGCCGGACGACGAGACGCGAGGCGAGCGTCGCGGCGTCGCCTCGTTGCTGCCGCCGTCGCGCTTTCGCTTCTTCGCGGGACCGGCGCCGCCGCCGCCGCCGTCGTCGTCGTCGCTGGACTGCGACGATTCCGACGTCGTCTTCGGTGTCGAATTCACAAGGCTCGGAAACGACGGGATGTCTGAATTAATACAAATATTTAGTTACTTTAATTCAGTAAAATTAAATAACAGTACTGGGTGTTACGAGGGGATATTTCGAAAACAGTTTAAAATTATTTGTGGAATTATGGTAAAGGCCATTTCAAGCGCGCGAAACGCACGAATTACAAAACTGTTTTTATAAAAAAAATTGTAGATTATTTATTAAATAATATTTTGGCATCAAAATTGTCAAAAATATTCTTCTTTTATTAGGTTATACATTAAATTAAAAAAAAACACAAGAAATATTTTATGAAAGTAGATATAATTTTAATAATTGAAAGGTGTGGACGGGACTGTACTTTTATAAAATATTTCTTGCGTTTTTTTTATTTAATGTATAACCTAATAAAAGAAGAATATTTTTGACAATTTTGATGCCAAAATATTATATAATAAATAATCTACAATTTTTTTTATAAAAACAGTTTTGTGATTTGTCCCGTCCCACAGTGTTGCACCCAATGGACAAAAGTCCTAAATGCAAATCCCGTTTATTAGAATTTTTATTATTGGAATTTATAATAAAATAACCGGGTTTTCATAAACTGGCAAAAAATCTTCTTTTTATACCTATACAAATTAACACGAACACTTGAAATTCAATAAAACGCTTTTATTAGTATTTAGGGTCGACTCAAGACAAAACAATAAAAAAATTTTGATCTATTTAGAATTTCTAACTTAGAAGGTGAAAATTAATAATGAGCGGTCTTTATAGAGGTAAATAAATATGATCAGTTTTGTTTATATTTCTTTAGCCATTTTATTTGTAAATATGAAAATCTATAGATAATATCGATGACTTTCTGCCAAAGTATCGCAAGCAACATATCTCAAATTTGGGGAATTGAAAACATTTTTTGTTTTAAAGTCTGTTTTAAACTACTGTATATAACAGGTAAATAACTATAATTATAAGCTATTTACATGTTATAAAACCTATAGGCTATATTTAATTTAAAACAGACTTAAAAAAAAAATGTTTTCAATTTCTGAAATTTTGGTTATGTTGCTTGCGATAATTTGGCAAAAAGTCATCGATATATTAAAAATAAGCTATATAAACTTTGGCAAAACTTTTATTTGACGAGTCAAAATTTTATTAAAAATAAAGTCATATTTGCCTACTGATATAGGCGAAGGTATACAACAAAAGAACAAAAGAAAATATATATAATGTTTTGTTCTATACCTTCGCCTATATCAGTAGGCAAATATGACTTTATTTTTAATAAAATTTTGACTCTTCAAATAAAGCGCCTATATATAGTATCAGTTTTTTTCGCCAAATTAATAAATGGTGGCATACATTCTTCCGATCACGCAAGAAACTTCATGCTGCCTGGCATAATGGCACCATAACTATTTATTTAATTAAAAGCCCAAATTTTTTTTGAAACATTGTCTTGAAAAAGTAAAATTCAGCGAGTAGACTGGAACCATATGAATAGTTCATTTTACAAAGTTTTAGTACATGGCTGCAAAATAATTGATTTTTTTGAATTGCCTATTGGACAACTTTCGGAAGATCTCTTAGATACCAGATATTAAAGATTACTTTTTAATTGAGGAGTCTCTAAATGATTCAGGTTTGTCTGTAAATTTCAGTTCTTTTTTCCTAAATAGTGAAGACAAAGATATTAGCCACACTGAAAGAATAAAGGTGTATTTTTATAAAAAATTGAAATTATATTTTTTGTCTACATAAATCTTATGGGGATTGGCACTAAAGAATTAATGTACTCAGTAAATTTGGTCTTTTTTGATTTCTTTACTATATAAAATATTATTTTAAATAATAGGTACTTTTTAAGTTTTACAACAATAAACATTGATTTATTACTACAATTAAATCGAATAAAATATTTAGGTACATTTTGTTGGATTATTACGGTTATTAATTTCAATTTAATTAACTCTTTGGAAAAAAAACTTATGTTGTTTTCTTTTTATTTAAACATTAAAATGAAACTATTTATGTCAATATAAAGTTATGGTACTTTGTTTTTATTTTTAAAACTGAATACCACTTTATTTTTTAAAAATATTTCGTACAAATACTTTTGTCCCATGCCCCCTATCTCTAGCAACACTGTTTAAGAAAATTTAAGAAAAAAGTGCATATCCCTATTAAAAATTCGAAGTTACCCCCGCCCCTCAAAATAGGAAAAGGGGGCAGGTGTCAAAACAAAAATACGTTTAAATATTTCCTTTCTGTTAGTTTACGGCCAGTACGCGTCCATCCGCTTGAAATGGCCGTAAACTAACAGAAAGGAAATATTTAAACGTATTTTTGTTTTGACACCTGCCCCCTTTTCCTATTTTGAGGGGCGGGGGTAACTTCGAATTTTTAATAGGGATATGTACTTTTTTCTTAAATTCACATCTACAAAAAACTAGATTCGATTTTTTTTAAAAGTACCTAAATCATCCCGATTAAAAATTTACCACCCGCCCCTCTAAATAGATGTCAAAAATATGTTCACTGCTGCTTGTACTTTCAAGTAATATTTTATCAATAAATATTGAAATAATAAGTCCTATAGGTATTCACCAAATACCATTATATGATATAATTTATATCCTTCACTTTATTTGACAGCTATTTTTTGTTTAAAAGTTTGGTTATGTGTTTTACTGGAGCCACAGCACCTCTCTGTCCCCAGTTGTTTCAGTAAAATTAATCTGCCGTACATTTATAAAAGGGTAGTATTTACCACTGAGCTCAGTAACTGAAAGTGGATTTCGGAATGCGTTTTCAGTACCGACAGTACTGACAGTAAATTACGGAACATAGCCTCTATCAGGGCTGTCATCAAACTGTCAAATGTCAATTTTAAGGTTAATTTGTGGGTTATGGTCCTTGTTGTATGGATTGTGTGTAAAATCATGTTAGGTGTAAGTTAGGTTATGTAATAAAACAAATAATTTACCTTCTGGTATGCTGGCAACGTTGTTGTTGTGATTGGAAAGGTCGATTACAATGTGAGTTCTAATATGATTTAATTTCCTAAATTTTGATCCTTTTCGTTTTCTTGATCCTGATGGTCTTTTGCCATCTGAACCACTGGACCCATCCTAAAATGTCACAATTTATTAGCACGCCGTTTTAACATTTATTAATTTAAAATTTTATTGGTTTAAAATTTTCCCAACTAAAAATTTTAGGTTTTAAATTTATAAATTTAAAATATTTTCAACTACCATATATTGAAAGACAAAATTTACTAATAGTTCACTTTTGTATTAAACAATATTATTTCAAATCAATCTTTGCAAAATAACTAACCATCATTTTTTAATAAAAATAATTTCTTAAGTATAATTTATTTGGACACAATTTTGTAATCTTAAATAAATATTTTATAAAATTATTCAGATTAAATTGGTAAAGTTAAATTTTTTAGTACTTAAAAAAAGTGTCAAGGCATTTAAAATAAAAACACATTTAAAACATTTTCTACCAAAAAAATTAAAAGTTATTTTTTCTTAAACTTAAAAAAACTAAAAATCAAAAAGTTTTAAATATAAAATGCAAATATAAAAGTTTATGTTTAAAATATTGGTTTTTTAAAAATAGTAGTTTTAATATTTTATTCTAAAAAATTATTGGTTTAAATTTGTAAATGATAGCCGATAAATTTTTAATAAAAAAATCCTCACATGACATTTAAATGTTACTTTTAAATTTTAAAGTGGTAAATTTTAGATTAAAAATTTATCGAATATCATTTAAATGACTCTTTAAAAATTTAAACCAATAACTTTTATTTTTAACAAATTTTAATTGATACATTGATAACACATTACATTTAAGCCTGATTTATAGATTGCCTTCCTTCCTTCCTTCCTTTCTCCCGTAAAAGATGAACAATATGAAAACCGTAGTGCGATTTATAGATTACCATACGGCAATATATAAACAGCACTACGGTTTTTTTATTGTTCATCTTTTACGGGAGGAAGGAAGGCAATCTATAAGTTAGGCTTTACATTTTAATTAAAGTTATAAATTTTTTGTTAAAAAAAAATTTTGGTTTAAATTTGTAAAGTTATTTAAATGATTTTTAATCCAAAAATTACCACTTAAATTTAAAACTTCCATTTAAATGTAATATGAGAATTGGATTAAAAATTATCATTTAAATGACTGCAAATTTAAACAGATATTTATGGAATAAAATATTTAAACTAAAATTTTTAAAAATCAATGTTTTTAAGCTTGAAGTTTTACAGTTGTATTTTATGTTTAAAATATTATCAAAACGGCGTATTTTTTATTGGCACAAGAAACTTTTTTACTTTAACCAAACTCCTACATTATGACTTACCAATCTAATACTTACCAATGGTACCCACTGTGCGTCATCATCGCTACTTTCGTCATCGTATTCTGCAAAAACACGATGAAACAATTCAGTTATAAAATATACACAGGGTGTCGGGAAATAACGTTAATACATTTCGGTGGGTGAATCTACACGTAAACATAAAAGAAAAAAATCAACGACGGTCATGTTGAGCGTTTACTAAAATAAAAATTGTTGAAAATTGGAAATTATTTGCGTTATTGTTGTAGTTTATTTAGGTGTAGAATCATCTCCCGAAATATATTAACGTATGGCAACGAAAATACGATTATTACCTGATGGAGTCAAAAAATCTGGGAGATCTATTCTGCGACGTTTGCATTTGCTGCTATCGTCTAGCTCTGGAGCGGTCTCTTCTTGCACTGATTAAATAAAACAAAATATTGAGTAATTTTTATTATGAAAAAAGAGGTTTGAAGGAAAATTTCCTTTTTTACACTTCGCGAATATATGTAAGTTTGTTTTATACCAATAGATGGCGTAAATATGAATTTTCAATTGTTTTTATTTTATTTTCTGAGGTGTTTTGACGTTTTAGAGTATACTTCGAGTTCTAATTGATCGATTTGACCAAACAAGCACTTACATCAAAGGTAGTTGAGCCGTCTACAACTTTCTCTTGTATAGTTTTGGTATCGGCTCAGTAGTTCGATACTGGCGATTTTATTAAGTTGAAAAAGTCCTTTTTTTTACAAAAATCAAGGTCGAAAATTTAGATATCTTTTTGGGAAAGATAGAAATCGAAAGATAAGTCCAGTTTAATTTACTTTACGTATAGATTATACTTAAAGGAAAAAATTAAGCTGCTGCTGATAAAAATCCATGAATAAATGGCGAAGTTATGAATTTTTCAGTTGAAGACCAAAATTCAGTTTTTTGAGAATTTTTACGTTTTTTCTTAATTTTATTGAATTATATAAAATTTAATATTGAACATTGATTTTTATTTTAAACAATAAATATTGAAATTAAATTATATATTGAATATTGAACAATAATTATTGAGTTATTTTCGCACTCGAACTCTCTAATTATTTTACTCATTTTACACTTTTTTTAACTAAATAAAACCATGATAAAAATACCTTGTTGAAATATCAATAAATAGCAGTAAAATGTAATTATGCCTACACGAGAAACAAAAGAATTCACGTTTGCGGAGTCATGTCAAATTTAAATTTTGAATAATGTTTTCGGTGAAAAAAGTACGTAAAAAACTCAAAAAATTCAAATCATGCACTTTGTTTAGGTTTTCATTAAAGAATAAACATATTACAAAATAAAAGAAAAAAAATAAAATAAAAATAGTCAAGAAGCAGAATTTTGGTCTTAAAATTCATAACTTTGCCATTTTTCCATGTATTTTTATCAACATTAGCTTGTTTTTTTGTAAAAATGTCAGCTTGACGAACAAAATTCAAACTGGAGTTATCTGTTTGATTTAAACCTTTCCCATGACGATATGTAAATTTTCGACCTCAATTTTTGCCATAAAAAAGAATTTTTTAAGTTATTAAAATCGATAGCGTCAAAATACTTATCCGATATCAAAAGTATGTAAAAGAAAGTTTTAGAGGGCTCCAATACCTTCAATTAGATTTCAAGCTATACTAAAACACCTCCGAAAATTGAAAAAAAAACAATTGAAAATTCATATTTCAAAAATGCTTTCATAAAAAAAATTGAGTTCGATTTTCGTGTTTAGTGGGACAAAATACATGGAAAAATTATAATGGGATATGGTGGGCAGAATTTTTTTTCGGTTTTGTAAAATAGTGTTATTGGTACCTATTAAGCCAGATTTATAGATTGCCTTTCTTTCTTCCGTCCTCCCATAAAAGATGAACAATACGAAAATGGTAGTGCCGTTTATAGATTTCCGTACGGGAATCTATAAACGGCACTACGGATTTCTTTACGGGAGGAAGAAAGGAAGGAAGGTAATCTATAAATCAGGATTAAATCTGTCAATGAAGTTAAAAAATTGTGTTATGAGGTAAGTGTAACAATACAACACAATAATTGTGTTATAATAATAATAATTATTATTGTGTGCTTTATATTATCTTTTTCTTTGTAAATTCTACTTTTGCTTTAAAGTCAATCAGCTCATGCATTTGGGGTATAAATATAGTTATTTTTTTTAAATAAAAATTTTAATAAAAAATCTAAAAAACAATTGGGAATTTTTTAAATTATTTTTCCCAAATCGATGTGTACTAAATATTTTCGATATTTCTTAAAAAAAAAAAGCATGCATTTACGGGTTACATTTTTTCGTAAAAATCCACCCACCTGGGACGTCCCGCTCGGCCAGGGCCCTCTCCTTGTACCCGCAGGTGCACGGCCCGTACGGGTCCTTGTAGAGCGCGCTGCGGGGAAACCCCGAGACCGCCGACACGCCCACCACGTTGATGAACTGTATGAACGTGTGGTCGTCCACCTCGGAGCACGAGTAGCACATCTGCATGCAGCCGTGCGAGTCCGAGCCGCGCTTGCGCCCGTCGCGCTCCCTCCTGTCCATCAAGTAGTCGCCGTAGTCGAGCTTGTACGAGCGATCGTGCTGGAAGTAGTAGGCCAGGATCGACTGGTTGTTCACGAAGGACTTCAGGATCGATTGCGCGTATCCTGGAAAACATTTCATCCGCAAACTTCTTATCAGGGTTCAAAATATCATGATATTTATATAAATATCCAATATAAATCGAGTGATATATATATATATATATATATATATCAGTGGCGGCTCGTCGGGGTAGGCAAGGTAGGCGCCGCCTACCCTGGAGATATGGATGTAAAATAATAAATATAAGTAATTTAACATTAATAAAATTACCAAATTTAATTTTTTTGCATTCATAAATCTTATTTATCGCAAATAAAACCTTTTATTGAATTGTTGCGTGATGCGTCATGACAAAAGTAGCTAGTTCACACCTTTTTCTATGCTCTAAATCAGCATCTAAAGCAAGCAAAGGCGACTATCCCAAGCGCCTATTTATTTGATTCTTTCACGTCAACCAAGTGAAGAACGCTATACCGCTGACCAATAGAAACGCCGTTGACGTATGGTAAAATTGCGATGGATAGGCGACACGATTGTTCGCCTTCTGCTAATCCGAAAGCCGATTCGGCTTCCGATTTGTTTTTGCCAGTAAGTTATTTTTTTAAGCCGGTAATCGATAAAATGATCGATCTCAATTCAAGAGGTTCAGAATATAATATGAATTTAATATTAAAAGTCCTGTAAATAACATCATTTGCAAGAATATATTAATATAATAAATAATTAATTTAAAATAGTGACATCTGTTGAGATAAATTCGAACGATAAAGGGCTTTTAAGCAGATTTCTTTTACATTTTCGTTCTGTCAATTACAGGGTCCCAGGTCAATTAGATGTTTTTGAGTTAAACAATTGCTTTAAGCCAAATTCACTTTATTTTTGTGACTGTGTCAGGAAATTAATTACCCGCTAAGTATTACTGTATCATTATTTATTATTATTTGTTAGTATTAGAATTAGGTACCTACTACCTAATAGTATAGTATAGTAGTATTAGCGTTGATTATTAGCCTTGTTTAATAAACAGGAGGGCCCATTTCATGACATTATTTGCTCATTACTTGAAAATCCATTTTCTCGCCTTAATGAAAACGATCGAAAAGATGATATGATTAATGATCGCCCTATTCCACATCTAAATCTTTTAAAACCTAATAAAAAACATGGTTCAACTTTTTCTCGATCGTTTAAAAAGCAATGGTATGAGAATCATCGATGGTTATGTGGTAGTTTTTTTAAACAGAGTTTGTTTTGTTGGCCGTCGCCTACCCCAGCGCGAAAGGCACGAGCCGCCACTGATATATATACACTCACAGGCAAAATAATCGATCCACAAAAATTTTCGATGAATTTCAATCGCAAATAACTTTTTTATTTGATGTCCGATTTAAACGAATATTAAAGAATATTGTAGATAAATTAATGGACAATCGCTCACATTTTAAAAAATTACTAAAAAATACACGTACGTTTATAATATACAGGTTTAAACAAAAAGATGTTTTTTACCATAAGTTTAAGACACTCTGTAGAGTGGCAAAACCGTATATTGTTCTAAATTAAGTTTTATTTATCAAGTCACATCTATTCTTAACAGTTTTGTTTTTGGTTCACCTCGATATATTTATTTTTGTGGAAAATATGGATTTTTTTTAAAAACATTGCAATTTCCAATATTTTTCCTGTATGAAGAACTAAGGTTGCTGTGGTCCATCCATAGCCTATGGAGAATGACAGTGACAGTTTTGTTGAATCATCCCATACTTGGACATGTCATATACAGCTTTCAAAAGCTATCAAAGTGTTTTTTGTAAATTAATGTGTTAATTTTGAGGTGTCTTCTTACTTTTAAAAATGTCTCCGACTGATGTTGCCCTTTGTACTTTACTTCTTGTGACGTTTAAAACACTTGCCACGTAATACTGTGACCGTCCATCCTGGATTAAATTAATAGCTCTGGCATCATCAGTCGGAGACATACCCATTTTATAAAGTAAGAAGACACTTCAAAATTTAAACATTAATTTGCAAAAAACAATTTAATAGCTTTTGAAAGCCGTGTATGACATGTCCAAGTATGGGATGATTCAACAAAACTGTCACTGTCATTCTCCAAAGCCTATGGATGGACCATAGCAACCTTAGTTCTTCATACAGAAAAATATTGGAAATTGCAATGTTTTTTTAAAAAATCCATATTTTCCACAAAAATAAATATATCGAGGTGAACCAAAAACAAAACTGTTAAGAATAGATGTGACTTGATAAATAAAACTTAATTTAGAACAATATACGGTTTTGCCACTCTACAGAGTGTCTTAAACTTATGGTAAAAAACATCTTTTTGTTTAAACCTGTATATAATAAACGTACGTCTATATTTTAGTATTATTTTAAAATGTGAGCGATTGTCCATTAATTTATCTACAATATTCTTTAATATTTGTTTAAATCCGAAAACAAATAAAAAAGTTATTTACGATTGAAATTCATCGAAAATTTGTGTGGATCGATTATTTTGCACGTGAGTATTTATTTTCAATTTTTTGAGGAAAAGTCATTCTTTATAATTTCTTTTTTAGATATATAAATCCGATTGGCGTTGAGAAACTTTTATTTTGTTATACAGGGTGAGCAAAAATACAGATTTTCAAAATTTTTAAATAATTTTTTTTGAAGCATTAATATAACCCCGATAGCACACTTTATTCTAAGAATGTTTTTTAAACCTTCCAGTGAGAATATTCTTAGGATCATGCTATAGGTATTTCTTCTAAAAACATATAGAATATTCTTACTGGCCTATAGGCAGATTCTTAGAAGGTGCAAAGTTTTAGTGGTAAAAATTAGTATTCTCTAAACATATATAAGAAAGTAATTGCTATAGAAAGTTCATTTAGGAATATTCCTATTAAGCATATTTAGTTCAGTTACCTATATAATAATAAAATATACCATAAACTACGTATAAAGGTATATACCTATACTTAAGTACCTAATTAGTAATAAGTATTAAATACTAAGTAAAAAACACAATCCAAAATATTTTTTTATAGTTATTTGTCAAATTATAACAATATTTAATAACAAAAATACTTTTACTATAGGTATTTTATTTTATGTTAAAAATAGATATTTATTAATTTGTATACCGATTTTTTTATTTTTGAATTAACATTTTTATGTATAATAAACCTAACTATCTTCAACTTCAATCTAATCTGAATTATCCCACAATATTTTCCAATTTTACTTTTTATGAAATAATGTCATACAACTTATGGTTTAGAGGTCAAATTGTTTATTTAATATTTTTAAATAAATATTTATTAATTTGTCGAAAATTTTTTTAAGGGGACGATAAATACATTTCACTGTCATATTATGACAGTGAGGCGTATTTGTCATCTCCTGAAGGATTTTAGGAATGTAGAATACAACATATTAGAACGTGGATATCTGACATATTTGGAAATATTCTCAAAAGCTTCCTAGAAGCTCCAAAAGAAACCTTCTAAGAACATTCCAAAAACGTATTCTTAAAATGTTCTTAGGATGCTTTTTAGGAAGGTTTTAAGAAGCTTTTAAGAATTTAATTGCATCATTAAAAGGGTATCTATTGAATGTTTTAAAAGTCCCTAAGAACATTCTTAGCAATAAGGGAAGGTTCTAAGAATATTCCATTATTCCGGTTCATATCTTATTAGAAGATTCTTAAAATCAAATTTTGCTATCAGGGAGAGAGCTGGTAAGGGGAAATCAAAAAGTCAAATGAAGTTTTTTCATACCAAGATATTTGATTTGATATTCAAAATTAGAAATATTAGTTTTCAAATTTTAACAAATAACTGTAGACATTGTAAACATGTCAGTTGAAAGCAACAACCTTGATTCATAATCACAAAATGAGATAGCAGTCAATTTCTACAAAATAATAGGACCACTTAAGTTAGGACCTGAATCGATTTTATTTTTAATAACAAATATCTTAGTAACAACTCGCATGAAAAAAATTCATATGGCTTTTTGCTTTCTCCTAACAAGCTCTTCATATTAGACCTTCATTGAATTGAATAAAAAAAATTTATTTAAAATTTTTTAATTTTGCAAAATTGTATTTTTTTTGTGCATCCTGTACAACAAAATGCAAGTTTCTCAACGTGTGATTTTGTTTTTAAGGTATATTTTGTTGTTTTTTAAGAAAAATGTAGGTTGTGATATATTATTTAAAAAGAATTTAATAAACTAGAACCTAAAAATATATATTTTTTAAATAACTTTTAAAAGTGTAGATAAATAATTAAATGATAGAAGACTCTTTTTGTAGAGTATTGTAACGTTTTTTAACTGTTCGTAGTGTGAATTAAAACACGCACTGGTTAATTAACGAACTAAACTATTTATTTAATAACTTAACTACACTTAAAACACTATAAAACTAACTAAACACTTAACACTACTAATTATTTATATATCGCTATTGTTCAAGAGTCTATTTATTTGCACTTATATTTATTTATTTCGCCGCGAGTACCAAATCTTAACTGACTGCTCTGTGTTGCTCCGTTTCTTATATATTCAGCGCCAAGGTCTTCTGGAACATTCCAGCGAGCTCCACACTCTCGATTGTTCGAGCGCTGAGTCACCGGCGATGACTAACCGGCGATGACTCATCGGCGATGAGTCATCACTCCGATATGCAGAGCGGTACTCGCTACATTGCCCCCGTCTTAAAACATTTTCGTCCCGAAAATGGTCCTCAGCTCCATGGCGATATTTGCATAAAGATCCAAACTTGCAGTGTGACGTCCTATAGAAGTAGCAGTCTACGGTCTTTCTTCCGGTTGTTCTTTTAGGGTTGTGGCAACAGACAAGAATGTGTATGCCACTAAATCTGAAGATAACTTCCACCATACTTCTAATTATTCTCCAGTCCAAACCGTCAAGTCCACAAGCAATCTTTGGTATCGCCAGGTTCATGATGTCCTTGGACAAAAGGGTATCCCTCAATTTATTTAAGGCATTCCATACATCACGGTAGTTTGGCTTCTGATGGGAGAGC